GTTGTGTAATCAACCATCGCATTCGTCGCTGACAGGGGAGGAGATGCAAGTTTAAGAAACATATTTGCTCCATAATAACGGCCTTAGTGACTTTGCCACGTCATGTGACACTGTGCGCAAGCGTTTCTTGTCTGGCGTATGTCGTCTAAGATTTACTGTCAAGACTGGAATGAACACAAGAAATTGTGGGCAATTATACTGACACTCCCGCTTAACGACACCCGGACTTACGACAAGCTTTAAAATTTCATGGAATATTTTTAATGAAACCAGTCATTATTACGTTGTTCGTAAACATTGATCAGTGAAATTATATTTTCTTTGAAATGTCTCAAAATAAGTGAAGTGAAAAATAAGTACAAATTTATTTGTACTGTATTTACAATATACAAACGGATGTCCTGAATATGAAACTGATCTTCGAATTTATTATTGCTTTTATTGGACTGGAATGAACGGAAGAAAAAATTATGGACATTTATACTTACACTCCTCGCCTAACGACCCCGGACTTGCGACAAGCTATAAAATTCCATAAAATAAAATAAAAATTAAATGCAATCAGTCGGTATCGAACCTTGTAACCATTACACCGCCCGCACATCAGTTCAGTTTGCGCAATGGTACCTACACTGATAGATATTCTGCAGCAAATATATACAAACAATGCCTGTAATGGCTGCCTGCGACGCGAATGAAAAAATATAATTTCACTGATCAATGTTTACGAACAACGTACAATAATGACTGGTTGCATGGAAAAAATTATTTCATGAAATTTTATAGCTTGTCGTAAGTCAGGGCGTCGTTAAGCAGGTAAGTCGTTAAGCGAGTAATGTCAGTATAATTGCCCACAATTTCTTCTAGTGTTGACTCCAATGTTCACTTTTATATATATATATATTAGTGTTTAAGCCTTTTATTATATCCTTACTCTGTCCTAGACATTGAGTTCTACCTGGATCCTTCCTCTTGGAAAATTTTTTTTTTTGAAAATATACATGTATGGGAATTTTTTATATATATTTTGCATATGTATGTATATTTTCCACTAATATCAATATATATATATATATATATATATATATATATATATATATATATATATATATATATATATATATATATAGATAGATATATTCGAAATCATTTGATTTCAATTTAGAGTCATCACAAATTCCATTAATTTGATTTCCTTCGTCAACGGTTGGAAATCGTCGAAAAATAGTTCTTCAAGCAATTTAACGTGAACCTACATCAACGAGGCGACATCCGGAAATAATGAAGCCGTTGAATATTCATGAAAACATATGCGACATTGGACAGTGCTGCCTTTGCCGCCTTTCCGAACAGATGCTGTATTTCAAACAGCAGGTTTTAAATAGCTTTAGTCCTAATTGTTCTTCCGCACTTTTTCTTTATACATCATACTTCCTCAGGTCTCTTGCAGTCAAACCTGGAATTGGTACTTCGACATAATACTCGGACCAGAATACAAACACGAAATGTCATAAAAAGGAAAATTGAGATCGACAACAGAACAGGCGGGCGCCTTTTTTTAGTGCTTTTTATTTTTATCTTTTTTTTTTTTTTAATCAGCGTCATATGATAAAAAGACCAAGAGCCACTCGACTTAGAGCGTTACTAAATAAGGTGTATGATATTAATCTTAATCAGGGATCGGCAACCTTTTGGACTGAGAGGGCCAGAAAGCTATGCAGTGTCTCGGAGGACCATTTTATCAAATTTACTATAATAAAGTATTTCGAAGACTGCCTTGGTCTGGAGGTTTAAACAACAAAGTTAATGTTATATTATTAAAACAAGTTTCCTTATTTTACTGCAGGTATAACAAGATAACTAACATAATCAACAAAAAATGCAAATTCTTTACTACAAATGAAATACAGTTAAAAATGGCAAATTATTTAATGAGACAATTGTTTCTGTTTATAGGTCGATAACTTCTCCGCATCAGGTGAAATATTTATCGGCAACAGAAGCAAAACATCAGCCAGATGGTCATCACCCAACCTTGTCCGAAAAATGATTTTAGTATATTTGATTTTCGAAGTTATTCACAACCATATGTACTTCCAAATAATGATACCATTCAAAAGGTTTTTTATAATTTCCGCTTGCCAAAACATATTTCTTGTAGAAGTCAACAGTGGATTTGCAATTAAATTTTGATTTTAAAATTTCTTTGCATTTTCAGTTGATTAACTCCAACTGATATTTTTCTGCCACTTGCTCCACAAATTAATTAAATAATTTGTGTCCAGGTGTTAAAGTTGGCGGGCCGGACAAAAATCCTTCGCGAGCCGGATGTGGCCCGGGAATCGGGGATTGCCGACCCCTGATCTAAATGAAGGTAGACAGAAGTGAAGATTATGACTAGAAAGGGTTAAGGAAGAATCCATGTGACACCTTGGCGTCTCCTAGCACCCTTAGTTTTCGTTTACTAAGTTTAACATAGATTGATACAAGGCTACAAATACGGATACCTAGTGAAGTTCGGATTTAGTACACCATAGTAATGGTCAACCATACTAGCTCCTTATCCATTACCCAAAACCGTTGTAGATGCTGGAAACGCAGCCGTTTTACTGTTTGTGCGTACTGAGCTTATTCAACCCAGATGCTCTCTTTCCCGGAAACTGTAAGTAAGGTTCACTCAGCATAGTCACTGGTTGGCTCGGTAGGTGCCGAATAAACACAAACGTGCCTGAACAGGCGTCTGCAACGGGGATTGGTTAGCCGCTGTGGAAGAGAGATATGCTCGTAAACGAGTAGCGGGCAATTATTATTATTATTATAGATTAAACTTAGTCAATATTTCCACGTCCGTTTCCATTGAGATTTACTTTTGTACCTTCTTCTTTCCTACATAAAAAGAAAACTGACTTGAAATCCTTTGACAAAAGAGAGTTTCTAAAACGGACATCATTTAATTAACAAATTGTCCGCAATCATTGTTCATGAAGTGAGACTTTCATTTGCGAAAAGCCAGTTCAGACAAAATGCAAAGCTTGCTCAATGACGCGGATTGAATTATATTTGAGTTGAGTTATATTTGAGTAAGATTTCAGTTGAGTTACGTTTGCGCTGCATTTGAGTTGAGTGAAATTTGAGTTACATTTGAGCTGAGTTACATTTAAGTTCAGATACATTTTAGTTACATTTAAGTTCAATTGCATTTGAGTTGAGTTACATTTGAGCTCAGATACATTTTAGTTACCTTTGAGTTCAATTGCATTTGAGTTGAGTTACATTTGAGCTCAGATACATTTTAGTTACATTTAAGTTAAATTGCATTTGAGTTGAGTTACAATTTAGTTCAGATACATTTTATTTACATTTGAGTTCATTTGCATTTGAGTTGAGTTACATTTGAGCTCAGATACATTTTAGTTACATTTGAGTTCAATTGCATTTGAGTTGAGTTACATTTGAGCTCAGATACATTTTAGTTACATTTGAGTTCAATTGCATTTCAGTTGAGTTACATTTGAGCTCAGATACATTTTAGTTACATTTAAGTTAAATTGCATTTCAGTTGAGTTACATTTTAGTTCAGATACATTTTAGTTACATTTAAGTTCAACTGCATTTGAGTTGAGTTATATTTTAGCTGCATTTCAATTGATTTACATCTGAGTTGGAAAATATTTGCGTTACATTTAAGTTGAATTACATTTGAGTTCCATTTGATTTGAGTTACATCTGAGTTCACTTGCATTATAGTTAAATTTGAATTGAGTTATATTTGAGTTGAATTAAATCTGAATTTAACATTTCAGTGACATTTGAGTTAAATTTGAGTTGAGTTACATTTAAGCAACATTTGAGTTGAGTTCTATTTGAATTACATTTGAGTTCAGTTACATTTGAGCTGCATTTGATTTCAGTTACATTTTAGTTACTTTTGAGTGTTGAGTTCTTGATGAAACATGTGGGTAAACCAGAATTTCGAGTCTGATTTCCAAAGCAAAACAAAAATTGAAAGCTGACGCATCATATTCTTCTTACTTATCAGTATTTCACATTAGCTTTAGACAAAATAATCTACATCTACTTTTCTATATTAATAAAGTTTATTGATAAATGAAATAGAGTTTTATTTTCGGCAAGTTCCATCGATCAGTGTTCGGGTTTCCACAACCATGTTCTATTATCTACAGTGTTCAGGTTTCCTCAAAAATGTTCTATGATCCATCAAGAAATGTTCGGATTTCCCTAAACGTGTTCTATTACCAACACGTTCCATTGAGAAGTGTTCGAGTTTCCTCAAATGTGTTTTATTACCCACGTTTCATCAAGAAGTGTTCGGATTTCCTCAAAAGTGTTCTATTACCTTCATGTTCCATCAAGAAGTGTTCGCGTTTCCTCAAAGGTGTTCTTTTACCCGCAAGTTGCATCGATCAGTGTGCGTGTTTCCCAATAATGTTGTATTTCCCAGACGTTTCATTCATCAGTGATTTGCTAACAACAATAAGATGGCGAATGCTGCTTTTAAAGGCAGACAGACTTGCCCAAATTGGATACATGGCGTTAAGCTATCACCGCCTCCTTCTTTCGCCTTGTAATAAACGAAGATAAGCTTGATCATTATGTATAATTTACTTGTTACCTGGAGTAGTTACACAGTTATCGGCAGTGTGGAGTTCAAACCACGACAAAGGCGGAAAGATTAAATAATGAGTTTCTAGACAATCAAGACTAGGAAATCGCAATACAATTTCCTGTTGGCTCATTTGAACTTAATCAATGCTTAGTCAAAACAAGGATTCTTAGTACTGATTTCCAAGACAACGAAATCCGCCTAACTCTAAAAGATTGGCGTAGCACAGTCTTCCTATGCCCCATTCTTCTATTGGCCCTGTGCCAGACGATTCTATTTAATTTTAAATAATAGTAATATGCAAATAAATACACATATGTTGATTTCATTTGGATGAAAAGAATCATTTGAATGATATTCTTTAAATTTTCCGAGCTTACAGCCATATCACGTTGAAAGACCGATTCCCGTACGATCACCAAGGTTAAGCAACGTCGAGCCTGCTCATTATTTAGATGAGTGACTGCTTGGGAACACCAGGTGCTATAAGCTAGAATGTAATGGTGTTGCAATGGATAAGGGCTCGAAATTGGAAATTGCAGGGCTGAGTTCCAATTCCAGTCGAGTTCATTATATTTACTTAAGTGTAAAAAATCTTGGAAATGGTATGAATCCACCTTTTTCTCCCCCAGTTTTGGGTTAATGAACAGAACTTTTATCAGTAAATCATTACTGTCTCAAAAACATTCTAACGGTCTTAAAATATTTCCTTGCTTTAAATATCCTGAAAAAAGTTGATAAGCCGTAGAAAAAAAAGCTGACACTCAATCAGAAATATTTGAATTGAATTTATTGCCGCCATATGATGTTACGTGACATCACGATTAATTAAAGATACATCTCTCCCCGACATGTAAACGATAAACAGCTCCAGATCGTAAGAATTTAATTTCACCAGACAGCTTGGGAGTAGATAATGAGCGGCTCTCAAAAAATTGGGATCCATCCTGCACGTTTACAAATCTAGCATTCGTCTGTGCATTGAATACTGCAACCATATCTGGATTGGTGCTCCTGTTATTCATCTTGAGGTTCTTGACAAAATCCAAAGATGTAATCGATCCTGACTTGGCATCTCAATTTCAGTCACTTTCTCACCGACCTCACGGTGGCTTCCCTCTGCCTTTTCAACAAATATTTTCATGGCAACTGCTCTGGCGATCTTTTTTTTTTCCTGGTGCCCGGACTATATGAATTTAAGCGTACTACTAGATTAGCACCTAGGTCCCACCCTTTTACTGTTGAAATAGTTAAATATAACCGCCAACTCTACTCCAACAGTTTCTTTTCTTGCACTTCCTGCCTGTGGAACTCTCTTCCGTTCCCTTGCTTCCCTGATAACTACAATCTTCAAAAATTTAAATCGCCATCTTGTATCTTCGTGAATCCTGTTCATCTTTTTTCCTTTCCTCAATCCACCTTATACTCAGTCCTTTCTCTCACTTTCACTCCATGTAACGCTCTGCATATTAATGGCATTCCCGCCTTGCTTGGAATGAAATGATTAAAAAAAGAAAATTTACTATTTGTTTAATCTGGCACTGGCAACAGGCAGCGGCAGCAGTTCTTCGCATATAAAGGTAAAATAATTTCTGGGAGGATGGAATAATGAAGTTTCCTGAAATGTGGTTGAAGACAGTAAAATAATAGACGCTCTTCAATGTAAAGACATTATTTTCTCTTTTTAATTCTTTTACTAATGTTCACCCAGTACCAGGCCCAAGAGACACTCAAAGTAGAGGGTTACTGTGTGGAGTTATATTAGCGTAGGAAAAGACAAGCGTTAAAAGTATAGAGCTGAAGCAGACATCAGAAGGAAGCGGAAACCTAATCGTAAACAAGAAACAAGGGATAAACCTCTACTCCTGTTCAAAAGACCAGGGAGGAGTGTGAACCATCCATAGGTGAACCTATCTACTCTGATTGGTGGAGAAATGAAAAACTGGATCAGATTTAGAAGGAACTGGAAACCCAACCCTAAAAAAGAAACAAGGGATAAACATCTATCCTTGTTCAAAACACCGGGGAGGAGTGTGAACAGGACGGTAGGCGAACCTATCTACTCCTGTTATTACCTTAACTGTTGACCACTAATAATCACTTTTATCTAGATTTTAAATGCATTCTTATCATAAATAAATAGCCATGTTCTGTTAGTAACACTTGCCTTAATTCCTGACCACGGAAAATACTTTTCTCCATGATTTTTTGTACACAGCATACAGACTGAATATTGTAACGGTCAAATTTTAGGTTAGAAATTGTAAAAATTTAGGTGTTTAATTAATTTTCTAAATTTTTGCTATTGCTAGAAATATATATTGCTAGAAATATATACTTTCTTATTGGAGAAAATGATTGGAGCAAAGTAATGGAGTAGAGGTAACGTCAGTGGGTTGTGATGAAAAAAATAAAAAATAAATAGCCCCTTTTAGTTTTACTTAAAACGAACGAAATCTTCTGGTCATCCATAACTTGGGACGCTCATGCTAGACATTTTGACGGCCGTCTTCGAGTATAGAATCCAGAGGTTAGCAGTGAATATTTCGGAGACAGTAGGAAAGCGTAGTTCAGGTTAGTAGTGGATATCGCAGCAAAGTAGCAGAGCGTAGTACTTCCTTCTGTCATCTTCGCCTGACAAGTTGGCACTGGTCATTCTGTAGCTCTTTCTAGTACAAACAGGATTTTCCTTTTTAACCTTTTGTTTGAAGTGGTGGAGAAAGCTAACATCATCATTATATTCTTATTTTCTGTTCTAGTTACATATGCTGTCCATTTTAGTTGTTGCTGCTATTGAAAATCTTCAAATCCTGTGTGATTTAGTCATTTAATAAATTTATTTCTTTACAATTCTGTAGCGCTAGTCTATAAGATCTTATGAAAGTTTGTCTTGTCTCCAGAACATTCGCTTGAAGCCATTTTTAATCAGTGATCTGAGCAAATGCTTGCGTACAGCTGATATCTTCGACATTTCTAAACTAGTTGGGTGCCATGTTTGACATCCATCTATTATAGTTTAAATCTGGCGAAGCAATTTATTTTTAAAAATCCAGCTAGTGCGCATTATACGCAAACATTGATCGACAAATTTTTCTTTTTCTTCGAAATGTATTAAAATAAGTAAAAAATATACAAACGGAAATAATGACCTGAATATGGAACTGATTTTCGAATTTGTTATTGATTTTACTGTTCAATACAATAGTCTACTGTATAAACATTTAGCAATCAATTAGAAATGTTACCAATAGTATAAAAAGGACATTAAAGTTATTTATACAAAATACATTATAAATGCAGTATTGTAGTGATATAAAAATAAATAAAAAATAAACAAATAATAACAAGTAGACCAAAATTTCATCATCTCTAAAAATAGATGTATAGTCAGAATCGCTAGGCCATAAAGTCATATTTCGACCAACCTATCAGGAGCCGTCTCGCCCAGATACAAACATTCTGGTTTAGCGTGCGAATCAGAAAAAAAAGAACTTCTACAAACCAGCATATAAACACCACTAATCATGAGCCAATGAGAATCAAAGCTGCACTATCGAAGCAAATCTCTAGATATGTATATAACGGGATGGAAAATTAACCTTAACCAGAATCGAAGAAGTAATTTTGTCAATTCTCCGATGTTACGTTAGAGCTGAAATACACTTACGCAACTCGCTAGCAACTTTAGACGGCTATACTTTCCTGATACATCTAAAAACTTAAATCCTGTCTTTCACTATTTTTTAATTATCCCGCTGCTATATTTGAAAACATACAGGCCACTGACGATCGTCAGGCCACTGATGATTGCGTCTAGCATGAAACAGACTGTCGCCTCTAATTGTCGACTTCAATGTTCACTTATATATATATATATATATATATATATATATATATATATATATATATATATATCCTTGGAAACAAAAAAATTATGAATTGTATGTGCGTTTAGAACTCAGTAAATTTAAAAATAATTGATTCCAAAATTTGCTTGAAGATGAAACAGAACTAATACTTTTAATTTAATTATATAATTAAATTTGAAGTTTTTAGCTTCCGTTTTTGTAATTCCTGTGTAGTGAAGGAACCATATTTTAAATCAGTTAATTTATAATATTTATACTCTGTAAATTTACATTGAGCACTGTTTTGTAAAATACAAAAAATAAAAATAAAAATATCAATAAGAACACCGGATTATATATCTTACTGTTCTTTCTTTTTATTATAATATATATATATATATATAGATAGATAGATAGATACACCTAGTAAGCCAGACAAACCTACCTAGGTTTCACCTAAACGGATCGTCAGGGAAAGTTTGGCTAACGAGGCAAAGAGAAACACATATTTATAGGTGATAGCTAAAATCATACCACGTGACAAAATACCAAAACAAAACCTAAGTGGGGGGGATATTTATTCAACAAAAAAAAAAAAAAAAAAACCTCATTGGAAAGTCAATAACGGGAAAACGTCTAATTTAGTAGCCAAGATTTTTTATGTTTGTAGCTCTTTCTTTTTTTAAAACCTTTTTTTCCCTCGAGATTGATTTGATTAGCAAATCAAAAAATTCGAGGGTTTTTCGAAACGAGTCTAGTTATCTATATTTATATATATATATATATATATATATATATATATATTCGCATTCTCCCAGACACACACACAAACACATGCACTCACTCTCTTTCTCTCTCTCTCTCTATCTCTCTCTCTCTCTCTCTCTCTCTATCTATCTATCTCTCTTATGTGTCAGGACTTTTACACTTGAACTCTTGAAACTTCAACTTTCACCTTATCCTTCTGTAATATATCATGTTATATAAAGATTTATTTAATATTCATCAACATACTGCACATTTTCTTTTTAATCATTCCACAAGGCTAATATGCACACAAGTCAATATGGCGGCAATATATGGCGTTGTATAAGATAACCAATTCATCCATAAGTGATAACCTCCTAACCCGTATATATCTTTCTACTTTAATGGGAAAATAAGAAAATAATTGTTATATACGAATAAAATATCACTGCCAACACTGCTTATTTTCTTTTAATCATTACACAAGGCCACTCTGCACACAAATCAATTATACTAATATATGCTGGTAAGTATAAGATAAACAACCCATCCATAACTGATAACCTCCTAACTCCTATATGTCTTTCTACTTTAGTGGGAAACTAAGAAAATAATATTAAAAAAAAAACTTTTCCAGGACTTTTTTTTGAAACCCATATAGGTTAAAAAGTTAATTCTCTATTTACTTAGCAATAAAAATATCATCTCATGTCACCATGTATTTTCTCCCTGACTCTTTCACTTTATTCTTCTATATTATTATATTGTGTTATAAATTATTGACATTTGGAAATGTAGAATAACAATAGAATAACAACACTTACCGGCGTAAGGGTCCCAGCTAGCGTCCAGCTGGCAGACAAAAATAAAGCAGGTTGTAACCCAATACAAAC